AGGACTAGACCAAGTATGGCGAAAGTTCTAGTGGAGATTGATTTGACCAAATCTAGACTGGATCATGTGTTTGTTGGTCAAAGGAATGCAACTAATCCTCTACAAGGCCATGAACAAAAGATTGAATATGAAGGAGTGCCTAAGTACTATACTCATTGTAGACTTTTAGGGCACTCAATTAATCAATGTAGAATAATGAAGCAAATGAAAAGATGACAGAGAACCAAGATAAGCCCAAGAATGATGAGGATAAAGATCAGAATACTTCAAAAGAAAAGCAAGTAGCTAACAACCAACAATTTCAAAGGGGCAGAGAATTATAAATCCGCAAATATAACAACAATGTCCCGAAAAAAGGAAGGAGTGCACCCCCTAAACAAGCATACAAACCAACAGGTGCTATCTTTGGTATTGATAAACTTCTTCCTAATGCAGTAGGCACAAATTCTGGGCAAGTAATACAACTAGCAGCAAAGCAAGGATTAATTACAATGGAGAAAGAGAAAGAAATGGAAGAAAAGGTCGCACCTAGGAGCATTCCAAAGCCAGCAGTTCCTAACCAAATTACACCAGAGAAGCTGATAAATGGTGCAGGAGCGAGCACTTCTAGCAGCAAAACATAACCAAATATTCCAAATAAAATTGCACTAGAAAAGTTGACAAATGATGCAGGAGAGTAAGAAATCCCTATTGAGAACCCCAAAGATCTTCAAGTAGTTCTATTTCAAGACTCTAAAAGAGGACATAAAGAAGAAGAGCGATGGAAAGCACAACTAAATAAGAACACAAGAGCTAAAAAACAGATTCTGCTCGTAGTGAAAAATGCAAGTGCCTACAACAAATTTGATAGTCTAAGCAGTAAGGAGGAACCTCATAAGCATATTGACCACATGAGAGAGTCAAGCAAAGATCCTGAAGAACAAAACACTAATCAAATTGGAAAAGAGCTCCAAGATGAATGGGCAGATAACACTACCACAGAAGAAGAAAAAGAAGAAGAGACATCCGAGGAGTTTACTGAAGAAGAAGAGACACCCGATGAATGGGCAGATAACCTTTTATGCAAGAAACTACAATAGAGTTTTACAAATATATGATGGAAATGCAGGGAAGTTTTGCAAATATTAGTAATAAAATATGGGTCTTCTGGAGGTCTGATCTGAACTGCAACGTATTTGCAAATCATGCTCAGATAGTTACCTGCAAAATAACTCCCAATAATCCTAGTAAGGATTTATATGTCTCTGTTGTATATGCAAAATCCAAATCAGCTGGGAGAGAATATCTCTGGGAATATATGAGAGTTTTTACTTCAACTATTTCCAACCCATGGGCTGTCATAGGGGATTTTAATAGTATCCTTAGCAGTGATGAAAAGTTGGGTGGTACTCCTCACAATTTGTCCAAAAGCCTACCTTTTATAGAGTGTCTTCATGATTGTGATTTAACTGACATGGGTTATACTGGGCAAGCATTCACTTGGTGTAATGAAAGAAAGGGGAAAGAAGTCATTTGGAAAAGGTTAGACGGATTGGTAGTTAATGATGAATGGGAGGCTTGTTTTTCCAAAACTGCTATAAAACATTTGACAAGAATTAGTTCTGATCATTGCCCGATCATGATGTCTGTACAAAATGAAGAACATAACTACATCAAGTACTTCAAATTTTTGAACTTTTGGGTGGATCAAGACGATTTTACAGAAATTGTGAGACACCAGTGGGATATAGAGATCTCTGGCAATATTTTCTGGGTGGTGCATAAAAAATGAAGAAGACTAGTAGAGCTTTAATTGAATGGTCCAAAAACAAAATTGGAGATATCTTTGTCAAGACACATCTCCTTGAAAATAATATTAATCACTTCGAGGAGATGTATATGAACTCTTTGGACTAAGAAGATAGAATGAATCTTAATAGAGCTAAGGCCGAACTAGTGGTTCACCATAAGGTGGTTGAAGCTTTCTGGAAACAAAAGGCCAATCTTAAATGGCAACTGAAGGGTGATGAGAATACAAAATACTTCCATATTGTGGTGAGAGGCAAAAGAAAATTACTTAACATTCATAGGATTAATGTTGATGGCCAGTGGGTGGAAGGGAGAGATGAAATAGCCACAGCTGCTGTTAATTTCTATCAGGATCTATTCAACGGTGGCAACCTAGATATTGCCATGAGTATTATGAATTGCATACCTAGATTGATCAGTGATGACGACAATATAATGCTTCTAGCAGAACCTTCACAGGAAGAGGTTAGAAATGCATTTTTTTATATCAATCCTAACATCTCTGCAAGCCCCGATGGCTTTAATAGCTTATACTTCCAGAAAACTTGGGACATTATTGGAGATGATATGGTAAATATGGTTAGAGTTGTGTTTAACGGCGATCAAATGCCCAGATTCTTTACCAATACTTGTCTGGTGCTTATTCCCAAAATAGACTATCCTCAGTCGTTTTCAGACTTAATACCTATAATTAATTAGTCTCACCAATGTTCTCAGAAGATGATTGCCAAAGTGATGAATGACATGTTTTCTCGGTTATTGCCTAAGATTATCTCACACAATCAAAGCGGTTTCTTAAAAGGAAGGTCTACTGGGAAAATGTTCTACTTGCTCACGAAATCATCCATAAAATAAGAAAACCTAATAAGGGAGGAAATGTTATAGTTAAGTTAGATTTGAACAAGGCCTATGACAGGCTTTCTTGGCACTTCTTGGGTTTTAATGAGCAGTGGATCCACGTTATTGGAATCTTCTGTCTAACAATTGGTATACTATGATTCTCAATGGCAGAAGACATGGATTTTTCAAGTCTCATAGGAGTCAAACAGGGAGACCCTTTATCACCTTCTCCATTTATAATTGCTGCTGAAGTTCTTTCTAGAAGTCTAAACAAACTTTATGATAATCCAAGGTTCATTGGCTTTAACATGCTGCCAAATGGACCAAAGATTAATCATTTAGCTTATGCTGATGATGTTATTTTTTTTTTTTTTGGCTCAGGTAAAATATCAACTCTACAACTGATTCAGGAGACCTTGACTAGGTACGAGAAGAACTCTGGTCAACTCATTAATAAAGGAAAAAGCTGCTTCTTGATGGACAAAGATATCTCTCACAGAAGGAAAAATATAGTGGCAACGACTTTGGACATGCAAGAAAAGGATTTTCCAATCACATATTTGGGATGTCCTTTATTTTATGGAAGGAAAAAGGTTCATTTCTTTACAGACATGACTACTAAAATAATACAAAGGGTAGGATCTTGGTTCTAGTAACCTTCTCTCACCTGGTGGTAAGAAGGTTCTTATAAGTCATGTTCTAACAACTATGCCCCTGCACCTTCTATCAATTTGCCAACCTCTCAAGACTGTATTAACGAAAATTGAGAAGGTATTTGCTAATTTCTTATGGGGAACGGGAGATGGAAAACAAAAATCCCACTAGACATTATGGAAGAAATTATGCTTACCTACTGATGAAGGTGGTATTGGGATCAGAAACCTCCTCGATATCTCAGATACATTTGCAGCAAAGTTGTGGTGGGTGTTCCGGACCAAAGAGTCATTGTGGACAAAATTTATGAGAGCCAAATACTCTCAAAGGATTCACTGGCTAGAAAATGGAAGTATACGCACTCACATACTTGGAGAAGAATGATGAAAATCAAACATAGAGTTGACCACACGATCCTTTGGAAAGTAAATAAGGGCAACTCTAACTTTTGGTGGGACAATTGGACTGGTCTAGGAAACCTAGCTCAGTTTGGTGGTGCATCTAGATCCATCAGATCTCAAGTTGCTACTTATATTGAGAATGGGGAGTGGAATGATCCAAAATTATGCCAACAACTTCCTTTACATGTTGTCCAACAGATCCAAAGACTTAAAATTGGCTCTTCTGATCTAAATGATCAACCTATATGGACTGTTTCATTAGATGGAAGATTTATTTTTAACTCTGCTTGGGAAAGCCTAAGGGAAAGAAAAACACTTCTCTGGTCAACAAAATGATATGGCATAAAAAGAGTCCTTTTAAAGTGTCATTCTTTTTGTGGAGATTACTCACGCATAAAGTTTCAGTGGATGCTAATATGAGTAGATTTGGTATTTCTCTCCCCTCGATGTGTTCTTGTTGTACCAATCCTAGTCTGAAGGATGAGGAGCACTTATTTATCAATAGCAGAATAGCCGACACTGTTTGGAATTTTTTTAATCAAATGCTCGGAATCAGGAGGTGCATCAGACATATGATCATTACATGGTGGATGGAAAAAGATCATAATCATATTCATAAACTGATTCTCCAAATATCACCTGGGTGTTATCGTTTGGCAGATTTGGAAAGCAAGATGTTCGAGTAGATATGAAGGGGCGAGGAAGTCATCTAATAGAATTATCTTGCGTACCACCCAACAAATTAATATAATTTCTCATAAGAAATTCCCTAGAATCCCTCCAAAAAAAAATTAAAAAAATAAAATACAAGCGTTGAAGCAAAGTAAGAATTGTAGAACAAAATCGTTTGCTTTGTAGTTTACACTTTGCAGACAAAGGTTTAAAGTGTATTTGTTATTTAGTAATAAAAGGCAAAGAGTAAAGATTATGAAATTGGGATAAACAATTAGAAAATACCTTTGGCTTTTGAGATATTTAATTGAAAATATACAATGAATTAACTTTTTGATGTTTAAGTTGATTATAAAAGATTTATGAAGAAAATTTGGGTCAAATTTGAAAAAGTTCTCGGGGCTTATGCCCAACTGAATGCCCAGAATGTTGGGGCTTACGCCTATGCGAACGTTTGGAATGTCTAGGCTTATCCCACTGACATTTACGCACCGTCGGTACGTCTCGGTGCGTTTTTGATACGCCTCCCCCCATGGCTCGCCCAAAAAACACCTTTTAAAACACTGATATAAACAGAATGAAATAAACGTTTTGGGGCATCCAGATAAGGAGATCGATTGATAGTGTAACATAAAATGGTGATCTGGCAAATGAAAATAACCTTTAATGAATTGCTATATTAACCACAATTTCAAGCGTAAACCAAAATAAAAAATCAAGTAAAAGTAACTAATTCACACTCCATTCTTGTCATTAAGAGCTTCGCATACAAATGCCACTAAAGTTATTGAAACATACAAATACATATAAATGATACAACACGTCTAAAACTGAAGCTGATCAAGAAGCTCTTCTTTTATTAATTTGATAAATCAAAATCCAACGACCCAAGCCAAAAGAAAAACGCCCAACACAATCCACATTTCACACCATATCCAAATACAAACTTCACTTAATACTAGAGAAGCAACAACCTTGTTAAGGAAATTCACATAAATTTCGAGGTTCGAACACAAAAGTCCACTAACCCAGCTGAACTGGTTAGTGTTGAAAGTAATTCCCACGAACTGAGAACAGCAACGTAAATTAGTGTCCCTCACCTGAACCACTGCCACTACCTTCAACCAATCCTCCACCTAATCCAGTACCACCACTTCCTATATGCTCATTACTTCCACCAATACCAGTACCCAAACCCCCTAAACCGCCGCCCCCACCGCCTGCACCGCCGAGCAACCGCCTTCCTAAATGGTCATTACTTCCACCACCAGAACCACTACCACTACCACCATGCAATCCTCCACCCGTTCCGGTACCAGCACTTCCTAAATAGGGACTACTTCCACCGGCACCAATTCCTCCGCCAAATAAACCGCCGCCACCACCGCCTGAGCCACCTGCACCAAGCAACCGCCTGCCAAACATGTCAGCAGAAACCATGCCACTGATAAAAACAATTAAGAGAACAACTCCAAGAAAACGAGCTGAGAACCCCATTATATTACAACTTTAATATGAACCAAGAATATTTATGAAAAAGAAGAAGGAGAAATAAAAATGATTGATTAGTCAAGAAGCCTTGGAATGAGAGAATGCACTTCTATCGGGAAGTATATATAGTGTTAAAACTAATGACCATTTCCTTTTCACTTTTCAGTAGTCGACTAACATGAACATTTTAATATTGACCATGTGTGTCACGAGGTGTCAAATAATTATATCATTGTGAACTAAAATATGCTACTATTAAAGATGGTAGGCAATTATTTTAATATTGTATATAGCTTCTAACTGATATAGGAATCCGTGTTCAGTTAGTTTATGATTATAATCAAGGATAAAAATACCTATGCTCGTATATAGTCATAGTGGCTTCCCACGAACTATGCAACTATCGATGGATAAATAGGCCAGCAATTTGCAGTTGTCAATAACATGATTTGATGAAGATTGTGATGAAATTTCAACTCATATCATCATATTATTTAAAAGTTTTCAAAGAAAAATTTTATGGTCTAGTAAAAATCATAGATATTTACGGGAAAAAAAGGTTAGGACGTATGTAGCTGAAAAATATGAAGTTAGTATAAAACTCAATAAATCTCATGGATGGTATCTAAAAGTTAGGACATAACACCCTTTCACATCCAAGTATGTTGGTTCCAACTGGACGCCTTCTAAGGTTGTGAACGTCTTATTTAGTTGTTTAATTCGAGTGAAATAATTGTAAGATGGATAACATGTAAATGATAGAAGTATATGCATAATTGTAAGGATAATTAACTATTACGATGACGTGGTCCTTCAACGTGTACACAAAGTTAGAACCATTCGTCTCAGCCACAATTCTTCAATAGCTAACATTTTTGGATATAACTTTTGCTTAAATAGGATACTTTTGTTAAAATCTTTATTAAAGATGTATACATAGTAAAACTAGAATTCAGTTATTATAAGAGTTTGAAGTTTCGTTTTAAAGGGTGTGTTTGGTACGAAGGAAAATGTTTTTCATGGAAAATGTTTTTCTAGAAAATGTTTTCATGGAAAATGAGTGGTTTTATCACTTATTTTCTCTTGTTTGGTTGGTAAGTGGAAAATACTTTCCGGAAAATATTTTCTATTGTTTGGTTAGAGAGTAGAAAATAGTTTTTTTTAGGAAAATATTTTTTATGCAACTCTCCTCACCCCTCCCCCTCCCCCTCCCACCTCCCCCCACCCCTCCCCCTCCCCCCACCCCTTCCCGAAGTCTCTAAAAATTGACACAATCTAAAGGAACTAATGTGATGCTTTACTTTTACGCAAAAACCGCGTATTTTCGACCCCGTAAACTTTATAATTTCTAAACCCGTAAACTTCTAAAACAACATAAACCTCTGAACTCATAATTTTTTGGAACTTGTAAAATTTTGAGCCTTTAAATCGATAAATAATAAAATTAAAAACTAAAAAATATATTTTAATTTTTTTTTTTGGGGGGGGGGGGGGGAGGGGCAGGGGAGGGGAGGACAGTAAAACGAAAAAAAAACAAAAAATTTAAATTACAAAAAAAAAGTAAAAAAAAAATTGTGCCGTGGGGGATGGGGGGTGGTGTGCAGAAAAATGAAAAAACAGAAATTTGAAATTGCAAAAAAAAAAAATTTAAGGTAAAAAAAATTTTTTTTTAGCGGGAGGGGGGGATAGAGGGGTAGTAGGGTGGATGGTAACGGAAAAACTGAAATTTAAAAAAAAAACCTTTTTTGGAAAGGGGGTGGGGTGGGTTGGTGAGGGTGAGAAAGGTTGAGGAGGAGCTTTGGAAAATGTTTTCCCTTCTTTTGATAAGGAAAACATTTTTCTCCAATTGGAGGAAAATAAATTGATAAGGAAAATGTTTTCCAAAACATTTAAGCCAACCAAACATGGAAAAATTGAAAAAGAGAAATATTTTCCTTCGTACCAAACACACCCAAAATTTAAAATTGATAAAGTTGAAGGCATGGTTCCGCTTTGATCACGAGCATAACTATTACGAAGAGCTTGCTCGAAACATATCTCTTATCAAATGAATTTCTTGTGGTCTTTGAGTCTAGTCACTAGTGATCTTCAGCACTTTTTTTATTATTTTCTCTCTTTACCACTAACTTTCAACCACCTGTTGGTGGCTTTATTTTTTTTTTTTTTAATTTATTTATTTATTTTAAATGCAAGGGCGGAAAAAAAAGCCAATACCAAACTCACAAAGGAGATCATACAAAAAGGTACGATATAAAACAAAATACCATGTCTCATATTTGGTAGTTGCATAGTTCATGGAAAGTCACAAAGACTATTTTATTTCTAATCATGCATTGCTTAATTCCATAAGATCTTTTATAATGATCCACTTAATTTCTTAATGATTCCTAAGCAATATAAAATTATCTGCCAACTATTAGGGAAGAAATCTCATATTATTGTATCAGTTTATAAAACTCACAATGGTGCGAATATTTCAAACTTACTAAAACATGCTTAATTAAACTGTCACTGTGATTTGACAGGTGAATATAAAAAAAGTGACCATTTTAACGCTATATATACTTGACTAGAGAACTGCATTCTCTCATTCCAGTTCTTCTTTGATGTTTTATACTTCAATACCCCACAAGAGGGGGTGATTTGTGTGGTACCCAATTTTTCGCTTAATCTGATTATAGAAGGACCTGGTTCTTCTATGTGTTCCAACTACTACTGTTGCGGAATAATAAGTACAGAAATTAAAGAACACAAAGATTTTACGTGAAAAACACCTTGCTCAAAAGGTGAAAAAACCACGACCTACTTTCCAGTAGGATTTTCCCAAACTCTCCACTAAAATCACTGAGCCAAAAACTACATTTACAAAAAACTCTTTTGTAAACCTAGGATTAACTCTAATCCCGTTGTAGCACACAACCTCAACTGTTGCGACAACTTCAAGTTAACTCTAACTTGAAAACTCGAGTACCTAATACAATTGCTTCTAGATAAGCTGAAAGGTACAATATAAAAACCACCTACTACAATTGAACTAGAATAAAAGATAGACTTGGAACTGGTTCTTCTATCTGGTTCAAGTAGCTTCACGTTTGCACGCTTGAATCACACACAAATTGATTGCAAAATTGCCTTGCTATTTTGCTCTCAATTTAAGTTTAACTTCTGCTTATGTGCGTTACCTGTAAAAGAGAACAACAATGATATTTATGGAGTTAGTAAATAGAGATTTACTAGAATTCTGATGCTACTCTTCCATGGTGGAAGAGTTCTAGTTGAACTCATCCTCTAACTCTATCCATCTCTTAAGCAGTGTTCTCTTTGTGTAAGGAGTCTTTCTCCTTATCCAATATGCAACCTTTTCGATCATGATCAGGAGATGTCACTTCTGGTAAGTTAGATTTATCTCCTTCACGTGCATCTCACATGCTTGATCTGATCATATATGTGCCTCGCAAGGATGGACCTGGTCCATGTCTGAGTTCCTTTGTCAGTCTTCAAACCTCACTTTTACTTGGGCCAACAAATTCCCCCTTTTTGATGATGACAAACTCTGTGCTTTCCACTCACTTAGGCCCTGTCAGAACTCATCTTATTCATCAATGCAAAGTTAGAGAAATTTTTTACTTATCATCAAGGACCGGGTTCATTAGGTTATAAGCATCACTTATTCAGAATATAAAGCACAATATCTTTTCCCTCTTTTGGCATCATCGAAAAGTTGCATAAACACAGTGTGATTACCAGAATTTTAACAATTACTCATGGCCACCGGGCAACTGCAAGTGCAATCATGGATTAATTATCAGTAATCAACCAAACACATTCAAGCTATCAAGGAAATATAAACAGTCAACAAGAGCAAAAACAGTAAACTTCATTGATAGGGAATATGATTCTACGACAATCCACAAAAAGAAACAAAAATAGTCAAAACATGAGCAAAACACGAAAAATCCCTAATCTGGGTCACTGAAAAGGTCTTGACAAGGTTCAGGAAATGAAGGCTAAAGATCTTAAGGCTTGAAAGAGCTGGAGGGTTGGGTTTTGGCTTGGAGAAGGTGCAGCATATTTTGAAGAATGCCATCATTCTTCTCCTTTTTCTTTGTGAGCTTAGTTCTGAGAGCATCTCTCTCGGATTCCACCTCTGCTAAACGAGCCTTCAACCAAACTATCTCACCATCCTTTGCTCCACTCTCCTGCACTAGAGCTCTGACCTTGCTATTGATATGTGTCTTTTTAGGTGAACCGGGTTCATTGGGAATGGCATTGACCTCATAGTCACAAGCAATCAAAGTTTTGATTCCAAAATGGTCTTTGCTTGTGGCCATCTCCACTTCTTTAGTGGCACCTTGCATCGATCCAGAACAGTAGTCGGAATAAACCCATAAGGGGTGGCATGGGCGTTGGAGCCATTGATAACCCTGTCTAGTAGCTTGATAATAAATGCAGGCCAGTTGATCTGCCTGCCACTTTCATGACACTCCATCAACACCAAGTCCATGTAGTTAGCAATGTGTCTTCTTTCTTGCCTAGGCAGCAGACACTTGTTGACAAATTCAAATAGGACCTTGTGGCAGGGCTTCATTTCACTTTTATACACGACCTTGACATCATTCACATCCAGGACATCACAAAACCTTCTAGTGATGGCAGGGGCAGTAGGAAGGGAGTCCAGACTTGGCCATTTTTGCCTTGTGTAGTCATCATACCCTTCAGAAGGGATGTCAAGGATCTCACCCAACTCCTTTGCATTCACTTGAACTCCTTTCACTTGACTGGTAACTCTGCCAGCCTTGACCTCTGCATTTGCCATGAACTCAATGATCTCAGTCCTGGCCAGCCTACCATCCAATTGAAGGACCAGGTCCTTCCAACCCTGAGCAGCAAGAGCATCAATTAATCGAACCATCCCTGGTTCCTCCAAATCCTTCAGAAGTCTACCCTTCAAAATGTTTCTTTTTCCAAATTTGGCCAGCTTATCTTGTTCAGCATCAGATTCACTCTCTTCTTCACCACTCCATTCCTCCTCCTTAGTAATTCTAACTTGCTTGGTTTTCACAGTAGATCTTGTCCTCTTGGCCAATGAAGGTTCAGCAGTCTTAGACA